AATATATTGATCCCTCAAACAATATTGCTGTTTATCTGCCCTTATTCTAACACTTGTGTTTCACTGTATTACAACAAAATCCAACACTTCAAAAAATCAAGTCTCAGTTTTCAATGTAGGTTTCCTTAAAATTGAAACAGAGGCTGCCCATGATGTGATCAAGCAAGGCAGCAAATTAGATCAATGTATAGTTATTTGACAAAGCCAGCAGGGTTTATATAAATTGGTAGATCACAGGAGGAAGGGAAACTGCCTATCAAAGATAAGAAATGTGATATTAGGGACATTTATGTTTTGATTGATAGATTTTAAAGTAGTTTTAGTTAAATAGGTCATGTTCTTCTTCAGCAAATTTTAAAATAGAGGGCTCAGGTGGCAATGTGTCTGAGAAATTAGAAAATGCCTCTGTTCAGAAACCAATTAAGTCAAAGTTCCTTTGGTGGTTGCCACAACTTATTTGAAATGTTGCTTTATGTAGATTGACGGTGATATGGATGACACTATTCTGAGAACAGGGAGCTCTTAATGGAACCTTTTCAAAGGGATTAAAAAAAAATCAATTTAAAGCAATTTCCAGAAATTAACACCTTGCTTCATAAGCCATAAAATTTAACTTTGATTACAATAATTTTTTTTCAAGTACTACGAGATACAGCACCTAGCATAATTCATAAGCTAGGCTGCAATTGTTAGTTTTCAGATGTTAAAAGCATCCAGAATGGCTGGAAGCACTTTATTCACAACCACAGGATGTCCCAATGTTCCATAAATGAAAGTACAGTCATCAGCACCACAAACATGCCAAAATTTCTGTATCACTCCTTTCCCCCTTCAGAAAATTCTGCATAGTTCAGGCAGTAGGGAAGCAATACTGTATGGAGCAGACTCATTATGATGTTTACAGAAGCACTGACTTGTCCCACTAATTGTGGAATGTTCTGTAATTACTGAATTTCCAAACTTTGCTGGTCAGTGCTGGGTCTGAACAGGGCTGTTTTAAGATGCTATCACTTTCTAGTGCAGGATACCAGTTTGAAATTGCCATACATTCTGAAGGCTCCTCTGCTTCCTGCTGTACCAAAAGATTCCACTGGGGCAAACCTACTGTAATGTATAATTCAGGAAATTCCCACTTCACAGTGATTCCAATTGCCCCTCAAATTCGAAACTCTAATCTCCAGCTCAAATTGTTAGAGCCACTCCCTATACGTAATCCCACAAGTGGTGTCCAGAGTTTCTACACGATGCAGAAATTGCAAGTAACAGATCTTAACTGCCTTTGCATGATTATAACTGTATTCTCTCTTTTAGAATCCAGTTAAAAGATGAATTTCAATTGTTGTTTGTTGACATCTATTCAAGTTTCTTCTGACTGCTGTACCGAATTCCCATAATTCTCCATATTAACGAAAACCTCCTATACTTATGTTGACAATAATTGAATGGAGCTGAATCACTCCTACTGACAATAATTACTAGTTATAACGAGTCCCCTATCTGTAACTAGTGTGAACAAGCAGTTTGTTTACCCATTGACTAACACTGAAAAGAAAACGTTCACATTATAGTCAATTTACAAGTTAGATCCTAAATGCAACACTGAACAAAATCTCAAGAAAGAGAGAAATCCTTCAATTAAAGGCATTTGGGCCAACATAAGCCACAGTAGTTACTGATCACTGAAGGAACTGGTCATACAATCTTGTGGATTTCTTTGTGCAGTTTTGTTTGATGCTGAAAATGCTCTTCCAGAGACAGAAAGGAACATGGGACTTAGTCACAGAAAGGCATTATAGGGTAGTGAGAAACAGTGAAAAGTAGATCTAATCTGAACCAGTGGCTTTACCGCTTTGCAGAACACCTACGCTCGGTTCGCAATAAACAACTGCACCTCCCAGTCGCAAACCATTTCAACTCCCCCTCCCATTCCTCAGACGACATGTCCATCCTGGGCCTCCTGCAGTGCCACAACGATGCCACCCGAAGGTTGCAGGAACAGCATCTCATATTCCGCTTGGGAACCCTGCAGCCCAATGGTATCAATGTGGATTTCACAAGCTTCAAAATCTCCCCTCCCCCTACCGCATCCCAAAACCAGCCCAGCTCGTCCCCGCCTCCCTAACCTGTTCTTCCTCCCACCTATCCCCTCCTACTAACCTCATCCCGCCCCCTTGACCTGTCCGTCCTCCCTGGACTGACCTATCCCCTCCCTAACTCCCCACCTACACTCACCTTTACTGGCTCCATCCCCGCCTCTTCGACCTGTTTGTTTCCTCTCCACCTATCCTCTCCTCTATCCATCTTCTATCCACCTCCCACTCTCTCCCTATTTATTTCAGAACCCCCTTCCCCTCCCCCATTTCTGAAGAAGGGTCTAGGCCCAAAACGTCAGCCTTTCTGCTCCTATGATGCTGCTTGGCCTGCTGTGTTCTTCCAGCTCGACACCTTGTTGTCTGTCATTAGAAGATGAATTGTTGCAGAACAACATGAAGTATAAACAGTAATTAGACAAAATCACATCAACCAAAAGTACCACCTTTTATTTATAAATAATACTATACTTGCCATTTACATTCTGCACAGGTTTTGGTGCTTTAAAGCATGAATTGAATCAGAGTTACACAATGAACACCTATGCTTTGCAATACAGAACTTTAATCTTGCTGAACAGAGACATGTTGCCAAATTGTGTGTCTCTTGTGCTCATCAAGACAAACACAGAATGCCAACTTTAAACAGTAACAATTTATACCACAGGAGAAAAGGCTTGGGTTGATGGATTGGCCAGTCAACTTGGATTCTCAGCCAAAGCAACTGGGCTCCCCATAGTTTCAGATGTTTCAAAGATGGCAACAGGCTTGAAGTTATTACATTTGTGTACTGAGGACTGGTCCCAACGAACGAGTATACGGCACTTCTAGCAAGGATAAATGAAGCACAGTAGGAGTTCGGTTGATTATTAAATTTTTTTTAAGGGAAGCTCCCTTTTTGAATTCTTGGAAGCATGGGAATCTTAGTTTCTGTAGCCATGGTCTCAGCCAACCAGTCAGCATCCTTCTTCTCCTTGGTATAAATCATGATAATTAAAAATTTGGTATTGTTTCATTTGTCCTGATGGGTTCAAGACAAAAAGCTTCATCTCTATTTTCAATACATACAAATATTCAGACACTTCAGCATCAAGATCTGACCTTGACTTAACAGTATCCATCAGAAGGCCTTCACTGCCTTAGTTTAAAAAAGAAGTCTGAAAACTGTAGTGAAAGGCCATTGTTTAAATTTCAGGCTATTAATTGTCACTGAAACAATCATATCCAGGAGAGGCAGAAAATGTCCCCACAACTTTACCCTATACATCACTCCTAGCTGCAACTCATTCCTTTCCCCTCAAAGTGACCAATGGGTGAAACAGGTGAGATACCACTTCTATTCTTCAACATCTTCTCCAAGATCACCCAGGAGTCTCCTCAGCTCTACTGAGCTTGCAACAACATTGGGCACTGACAGAAGAACCTGAAATACAAGAAGCAAAGTAAAATCTGTGCAAAGCAAAAGCAAAAGCAAAAATAAAAAAAACAGAAGAGATACAAGCCAGGTGCAGCAATATCCGAAAATAAACAAAGAATTTGGATTTCAGGCAGACCGATGGCAAAAGATCTTTTAGTACCCTTCTCGTTTTCCTGGGGGAAGTCAATCAACTTTTGTCTCCATTAAGACGCGAATCTCAGACACTGAGTAGAAGTTACCACATTAATTGAATTCTAATTTCAGTCCTTTTCTCTGTAAAGTTTTTAATTCAATCACTATCTTGGGAACTCCCAATTCCCCATTAGCACTCATGACCCGTTATGTTTGATAATGTCACATACATTTCACATAATTAGATCAACAAACTCCAACAGGATTGTGTCTTTCAGTCGATTTCCTGGCCCCAGGAAGCTCCTAAAATCAGCGCAGATCCTGAACTGGTTGCAATAACATCCAGATTTCTCTTTTATCCCCCTCAGTCAGGAGAGCGTTGGTGCAAGTCCCATTGTGAACAGCTAAGCATTTAATCTCAACTGTGTTATGCAAGAAAAAGAAGCAGGAATAAGTCCAACAGCCCCAACATATAACTTACTTAGTTCATCAACAATCTTCTCCAACAACTCTATTTTCTGGTCCTATTCCCATATTCCTTGATTGGAGTGTCCAAAAATCTCTCATTCCTAGTCTTGATTATATTCAGTGTCTGAGTATCCCCAGCTTTTGAGGGAGATAATTCCAACATTGAGACTACATATCTATTTTTAAGGTCAAAAAAAAAATCACATGACACCAGGTTATAGCCCAACAGGCTCATTTGAAAACACGAGCTTTCGAAAAACATTGCTCCTTCGTCAGGTGTAGTGAGAGAGGCATCAAGACACAGAATTTATAAGTAAAAAATCAGAGGATCATACAGCTGATGCAAATGTATTGAATAAACCTAAAATGGCTAGCTGACTCCCTCCTCTTAAATCTTTAATCAGTTAGAAAGGAGATGCAGGTTTCCATTGATTAAAATGCAAATCCCAGAATTTATTTCCAGTCACTGCCCTGAGATAACTGAAGGTTTTGTCAGTGTATACAAGTAGTGACATCTCAGGTCAGACAATGCATTTTAGGTGTGAGGCCTTGTTTGGAACCTGTCTGTGTTTTAACCTGGAGTCAGACTGGTTTTATTTCCAAAGCAGATATTTATAAAATTCTCCATTGACTGACCTGTGTTTACAAATTGTGTGCTTTTTGAACAAAATAGAATATATCTGCAAATGCAAAATCACTGCAGATTTATATGTGTGTGTGTGTGTGTGAGTGTGAGAGAGAGAGAATCTGTGTGTGTGTGTGTGTGAGAGACAGTGTGTATGTGTGTGTGTGTGAGAGAGAGAAAGAGAGAGTGTGAGTAATAGTGTGTATGTGTGTGAGCGTGTGTGTGTGTCTATGTCTTGATACTTCCTCTCTCACTACGCCTGAGGAATGAACAACACTCCGAAAGCTTGTGATTTCAAATAAACCTGTTGGACTATAACCTGGTGTCGTGTGATTTCTGACCTTAGGGTTGGATGGTGAGACAGGAGATGAGACTGGGATGAGGAGATGTGTTTGTTAGCGCTGATCTTACTCTCTCAGCCTGGCATTCTGTCAATACATTGGAACAGTTTCTCCCGCCCCATACCACCAGACCCCAAACACCTCTCCCACCCCCAACTCCAAACCCCTCTGCCACCTGAAACCCCCAGACCACAAACACCTCTCCCAAACCATTCCCCAAAACCTCAAACCCCTTGCTCACCCTGTACACCCCAGATCCCAAGCTCCTCCCATACTGTGTATCCCCCAGACTGAGTCCCTCTCCCACCCTGTAGCCCCCAGACTGAGAGTCCCTGGCCTACCCTGTACCGCCCAGACTGAGAGTCCCTGGCCCACCCTGTACCCCCCAGACTGAGAGTCCCTGGCCTACCCTGTACCGCCCAGACTGAGAGTCCCTGGCCTACCCTGTACCGCCCAGACTGAGAGTCCCTGGCCTACCCTGTACCGCCCAGACTGAGAGTCCCTGGCCTACCCTGTACCGCCCAGACTGAGAGTCCCTGGCCTACCCTGTACCGCCCAGACTGAGAGTCCCTGGCCTACCCTGTACCGCCCAGACTGAGAGTCCCTGGCC